CATTTCAAATGGGCCGGATCCGGCCCGCGGGCCGTAGTTTGCCCACGGCCGGTATAGATACATGGTTATTCACTATTTGCCATCAGTAATCTCTCTCTCATCATTGATGTTTCTCTTTCTCTCTCTCTGGTCCTCTCTGAAATTAATAAAATATATATATATTTTAAAGACATATTTTTTTTAAAAAGAAATTTTTCTTTCTGTCTATCTCAGGTATGTCCCAGTATGTGCAATTAGTAATGACCTACCCTGATGAAAAGTGCAGTCCTCCCAGGTCCGCTGCTCTGTAGCAGGGCTCCAATTACGGCAAAGAAAGTCTGCTGTAATACAGTCGGGGGCACTGGAAATTCTGCACTCAGCGTTAACTGCTCCACAGCCAGGTTTCTAGCCACGTGACACACGACTTCCTCACCAGTGAGAAAGTCAACAAGACTTTGAACACCTTCAGTGGGCAAGTCTGGGAATGCGTCCTCAAGAAACTGTGTGAGGCAAGCTTTTGAGAAAGATGACCCCTGTTCAAATAGTTCTTGATTATCTTTAATATTCAGAAGAACAGCTTCTTTTTCTACTCCAAGTTTCTGGCGTTTGGCCTCCTCACTTTTAATATAGCAGCTATTAACAAATGCAGTTTTGAGAAGATCTAAGGAAAAGGTTTCCTGTAACCGATGTCCAAATGCCTGTATTTCAGCATGGTAATCCCAGTTGGGCTTCTCTGAACTGAAAATGTAAAACAGAAGACAGTAGTAACACATGGTAAAGAAAGGGACAAGATATTGCTATCGTGCAAAAATTTTTCATTGTGTTGCAATTTTGTTACTTATAAAAGAAATTTTAAAAGATTTTCATTTTTTTGCCCTAACCGGTTTAGCTCAGTGGCTAGAGCGTCAGCCTGCGGACTGAAAGGTTCCCAGGTTCGATTCCGGTCAAGGGCATGTACCTTGGTTTGGGGCACATCCCCATTAGGGGATGTGCAGGAGGCAGCTGATCGGTATTTCTCTCTTATTGATGTTTCTAACGCTCTATCCCTCTCCCGTCCTCTCTGTAAAAAATCAATAAAATATATTTAAAAAAAAAAGATTTTCATTTTTAATGCCAGACTTTGATTTCCTAAAAGTTAAAATTCAAGCCAGATGATTACTTGTTCTTTGCTAGCTACACTGCTGGATTAATTTTCCCTTTGAGCCAACTGCTACATTAACGTGCTCTAACCATAGAACTATACTTAACGTCTAGGTGTGAAGTACAAATTATAATTTCACATATTCAAGCCATAAACAATAAGTACCTTGTATTTGTCTTATATTTCATTAAGTTTTGAAAACATTCATTTAAATTAGCAATTAAGTAGTGTAGTACCATTATAAGTAGGTTAAAAGTCCATACCCAAGAATGACTAAAAGATATTTTTTTAAAGACAACGCACCCAAAATAAAACTTTTAAATAAAAGAGGGCAGCAAAATATACAGACCTGGGTTAGAAATAATAAAATGGATATATAACCCGTAAGTTTCTTCCAACTATAAAAGCCTAAGATAACTACATAACAAAGAAATGTGAGTTTAAAATAAATGCTATTTTTTTTTTGCCTATTAGAAAAAGAACTTACAATTTGTGTCCAAAGAGTATAGGAATATGAACATGTATATTCCTACTGGTAGGCATATAGACTGGATTAAGTATTTTGGGGGGAAGGGAAGGACAATATTGAAGTAGCTATCAAAATTCCATATTAAATCCTCAAAGGAGTAATAGTTCAAAGCTATTCATTTGTTACGTCGGTTGTAACAGCAATAACATGGACCTTAAATACACATAAATGGAGCCATAAAAGAGTGAAGTGCACCTATTTGTACTGGCACGACGACGTCAGACACATGATTAAAGAGAAAAAGATGCAGAATGTGTGTGTAGTCGGATCTGATTTGGACCTATGAGATCTACGTCCCTTTCCGCGGACCTTCTAGTTCCGGAGCAAGAGTAATGAGGGCAAAAACCTAAAGCTAGAATGCTTCTCTTTTACGCTGGACAGTGGGCTGTGGTGGAATACACTGAATTTTTTTCTTCCTCTGAATCGCATCGCTGTGGAGTGTTGTCTCCCCTCTTGTCCGCACCCACTGACACCTCAGACATTACAAAGCAGGGGCCCCACACCCGAGGCCACAGGAAGGTCGCCCTCCGCCGACTCACGGCCCACAGCTCGCGCCCTGCGTCTAACGGGGAGTT